AATTTTGGGATCACAAAGTGCTTCAACAAACACAAATAAAAAAATAAAAAACAAACAAAGCAAATTTAAATGAATGCAAATTTAAAAAGGTAAGTTTTTAACTGAGCTTTAAAGGTGTCTGCAGAGTCTGCTGATCTTAAATTCAGAGGAAAAGAGTTCCAAAGCCTTGGAGCCACAGACAAAAAAGCTCTGTCTCCATTAGTCTTTAATTTTGTCTGAGGAACAATCAACATGTCTTCATCAGAAGACCTCAGAGCCCTGACAGGAGTGTGAAAATGTAAAAGTTCAGAAATGTGGTGTGGTGTCTGACCATGCAGAGCTCGCCAAGTCAAAACCAAAATCTTGAATTTCACTCGATGAACTGGGAGCCAATGAAGTTGCATCCAGGCCTAAAATACCATAAAAAGAAGGACTGTGTCAAACAGAATGTGGGCGTTCTGGTAGTTGTTAACTGGTAGTGGAGTCACATCACAAAACTTAGATAATCTAGTCAGGAGCCAGGCAGCCGCAAATTCTTTAAAGTTAATTCTGATGGATTTGAGAGAGAGATAGTGACAAGGATGGGATGTTGTTCAACAAAGCAGCAGAGCTGAATGACCAGACCAAGACAACAATTAAAAAGGTAAGTGCAGTTTATTTACAGGTGGAGTTTGGTTTTGGACATCAGCTGAAAAGGAGGAGAATGTAGAAGGTGAGTATTGGTTCTTGGAAGAGTAATTTGTTGTAGATATTCTCTTGTTAATAAGTGATTCTTTCTTACAGGTTTTCCAGAGGCGAAGAGTGCCAAAGGAGGAGCTTTTCAAAGGCAGGTGGCAGTTCTTCAGGCAGAGTGGCTGTGAGTGTTCTGTGGTGAGGTTCTTTGTTTTCTGACCCAACTTGGAGTGAAGACTTTTTAGCATGAGGCGTGGCTTCTGTGATCTTGGTAATCCACCTTGGACAAAGGATGATTGAGGAAGTGCAAAATGTATTCTTTAACATAGAATCTAGGAGCTAGATACTACCATAAAGGTTGGATGCATCAGCGTGGATCAACATGTGGATGAGGCTTATAAAGCTGCAGCTGATCAGTAGACAAATCCCCAACAGGTGTGTGTAATCAGGGTCAGATCACCAATCACCACACAGGAACACAGGTAGAACTGATTCTTCACAGTACCCTCCTCCTAAGAATCGCCTCCAGTCGATCTAGGTCACTTCTCTGGCTGAGCTCTGTAAAAGTCAGAGATAAGGGAGGGGTCCAAAATAAAGGAGCGAGGGATCCAGGATCGTTCCTCTGGTCCATAACCCTCCCAATCGTCCAGATACTGGAACCCCCTTCCTCTTCTCCGAACGTCAAGGATGTGATTCACCGTGTAGAGAGGGTTGTTATCAACGAGACGGGTGGGAGGTGGGAGGTTGGCAGGTGGGCAAAGTGTGCTCTCAACAACAGGATTGATCTGGGAAACATGAAATGTASGGTGAATGCGCAGGGATCTGGGTAGGGTTAGACGTACCAAGGATGCATTGATTGTGCGTTCAATTGGGTATGGCCCAATGAAACGTGGAGATATCTTCCAGCCGAGGTCTTTTAGTTGGACATCCTTAGTGGAGAGCCAGACCTTTTTGACCGACTCGGTAGGCAGGAGCCGTGGAACAATGTCGATCTGCTATCCTTTTATTTTGTTCTGCAGTCCTTAGAAGAGCAGCCCTTGTCTGTTGCCAGAACCTTCTACATCTGCAGAAATGGAGCTGCACAGATGGGACAAAACATTCAGATTCCATCAAGGGAAACAGAGGTGGATTGTAACCCAGAGCAGCTTCGAAGGGAGATAAACCAGTGGCGGTAGAGGTGTGGGTGTTATGGGCATACTCTACCCAACAGAGATGTTGTGACCAACTGGAAGGGTTTTTGTAGGATAAACAGCGAAGGGTGGCCTCCAGCTCCTGATTACAATGCTCCATTTGACCATTTGACTGTGGATGGTAACCTGAAGAGGGACTGACATTGGCACCCAAAGAGTTACAAAAAGCTTTCCACACTTGAGAGATAAACTGCGGTCCTCGGTTAGAAACTATGTCCAGGGGAATACCATGAATGCGAACAACAATGGTAACCAGTAGTTGTGCAGTTTCGAAAGCAGTAGGGAGTTTAGGTAAAGCTATGAAATGTGCCATTTTGGGAAAACGGTCTATGATGGTGAGTATGGTAGTGTTACCTTCAGATGGAGGTAGACCGGTGACAAAATCGAGGGTGATGTGTGACCAAGGTCATCCGGGAATGGGTAAGGGTTTCAGTAGGCCGGCAGGGGCTTGATGTGAAGACTTGTTGCGAGCACAGATGATACATGAGGCCACATACTCTTTAACATCTTTAATGAGAGTGGGCCACCAAAAATATCTTGCAGCCAGGGAGATCATACGGTTTGAACCAGGGTGACAAGAGAACTGATTATTATGTAACCATTCCAATACTTTACTCTTAATGGCCGTGGGGACGAAGAGACGGTCAGGAGGGCCTCCACTGGGGTCTGGTTCAGTTCTTTGAGCCTCTAGAACCAGTTGTTGTATGGGCCAGGTGAGAGCTCCTACAAAGCAGGTGGACGGTAGGATGTTGTCCTCCTTAGGGGTCTGACCATCTGTGTAAAACTGTCGAGAGAGTGCATCAGGTTTTACATTACGAGAGCCAGGTTGGTAGGTTATAGTAAAGTTGAATCTAGTGAAAAACAAAGACCATCATGCTTGGCGAGGGTTTAATCTCTTAGCTGTCTGTAAATAAGCCGGATTTTGTGGTCAGTCCAGATAATGAATGGTAACTTAGTTCCCTCTAACCAGTGTCGCCATTCTTCGAGTGCGAGTTTGATTGCCAACAGTTCCCGATTTCCCACATCATAGTTGCTTTCTGAAGGAGAAAGTCTACGGGAAAAGTAAGTGCAGGGGTGCATCTTCTTGTCAGACAGAGATCTTTGTGATAATCCTGCTCCGACACCTGTGTCAGAGGCGTCGACCTCCACAATGAACTGTTCAGTTGGAACTCGGTGATGTAATATGGGAGCAGAAATAAATCTTCTCTTTAACTCACCAAATGCAGATTCAGCTTGTGCGTTCCACTCAAAGGTCTTAAGAGTTGAGGTGAGTTGGGTTAATGGTGCAGCTACACAACTGTAGTCTTTGATGAAGCGCCGATAAAAGTTGGCGAAGCCTAGGAAGCACTGAAGCTGACGTCGATCAGTAGGGGTGGGCCACTCTGCCACTGCCTTGACTTTGTGAGGGTCTGTCTGAAAATAGCCTTGTCCAAAAATGAAGCCTAAAAATGATACTGAAGAAACATGAAACTCAAATTTCTCGGCCTTTACAAAGAGTTGGCTCTCATGGAGTCTCTGGAGTACAGCTCTGATAGAGTTTTATTGGATATATTAAACTTCTTAAGGTGTTTCAAATAAAGTCTTGAGGTACGTGACAAATTTATTATTCATCATGGCGTGTCCACAGACTCTCTTAAGCAGAGCTAGTAAGACAAAACAAGTCTGTGTGGTTTTTTACTATTATTCACATATTAAAACCCCAGCAGCAACAAGTGTTTTGATTGGTTCCTCTCTTGTGACATACCACATAACTGATTTCTGATTTGTTGTTAACATTTCTTACATGTCTGAATAAAACGATTGTTCACGCCCCCAGAGGGCAGAACTTCTCTGATCCTCACCAGGCTTACGTC